CTAGTCCTCACTCAGGTAGTGCAGTGCAGTGTACACTATGCAGACAGGTGTGTGGATAAAAATTGGTTATTTTGAAAGAGTTCCAAAGATTTACCTCATTTAAAACCTTGTGATTTCATCTCCCTGTGCCGGTCTTAGGCCGGATTTGGGCAGCCTGCCCAGGGAGATTAAGTATGGGAAACACTGGTAAGGAGGGGTTCTCGCTACCATTAGTTGTCTCTGTGTCATGGGTCCAGTTGTGGTGACGACAAATGATCAGGCGTCAGAAATAACAAGGAGCAGGTGGTGCTATGACCTCACCACTTGGTACATCACCTCATGATTTGAATCACAGCACAGAGATGGAATTAAGTCGCACTTTGGATTTAGCAACAGCTAACAGCTTTTTAGTATCCATTAGAATTTAATAATGAATTATTATTAATCATTAATTCTTTTACTGCTCACCCACACAGATACTGCACCAATCAAATTACCATTATTACCAGTGTGAGACAGAACCACAGATTTCTTCTCTTTGCCTATTACAGTTTTGACCAAATAAGAACACAGGTCAAAATAAATCCCACAGAGACATACAGTCATCGAGCACTTTATTAGGAACACCATGCTAAGGTAGGGAAGGGCCTCAGTTCTTCAGATGTCTGAAACTTTCCTCTGAGACTCTGCTCCATATTGACATGCCTGCATCACATGATTTCTGCAGATCTGTCATTGCATTACTGCCACATGATTGGCTGATGGATGATTGCATGAATACGCAGGTGCACAGGTGTTCCTAATAAAGTGCTCAGTGAGTGTGTACTGATGAAGTTATTAAAGGAAAAAAACATCGCACAATCACATTCTTAAATCCCCTTTACCAGGAATTAAACCACTCTCTCCTCTGACCTTTGACCTCTGCCTGTGTTTACTCACCACAGATCGCCAGGTGCAAGCAGCTGATCTGTGACCCCAGTTATGTCATGGATCGCACCACCAAAGTGGGTCAAGTGATCAGAGTCATCTGCATCTTGAGTCACCCAGTCGGCAACACCGGCGACATCAACTCCTGCCAGATCATCATCCCCCAGAATCAGGTCAACAGGAAGCACGGTGAGGACACAGGGGACACAAACAGACTTCATAGTTCATCGTTTCTGTATTATCTTAAACAGAGAACATAGGAAGAAAAAAGATGATGGCCTGAACATGGCTGATTCCTCCGCAGTCAGATGAAAGCAAAAATGTTGTATTGGAGGTAGGCAGAGGGAAAGGGAAGTTTAGGATTAAGTTAAGAGCTGCACACACAAATGATAAAAATTCTTGAAAAAATAACTTAGATTTTAGAAAACAAAAATGGGGTCTGATGTGTTCTGGTGCACAAAATTATATCCAGTCCACTTATTTAAAACAGCCATAGAAATACATATAAATGTGGCAGCTGCTTAAGTGTATTATCCACTTTTGATGTTATTCTATTCATTGAGGTGGTGGTGGTAAATGTGTGAAATCCTGTGTTGGTATCTCTGGTTTTAACAGACTTTGCTCAAGTTCTACCCAGAGCTATGACAATGAATAGACTACACGGACAGCAAGCTGAGTCAAATTAAATGCACCGATCTTAACTTCTCCACAGTCAAAGCACCAGACACTAACTGTCGCTTTTCCTCTTTCCAGACATCTACGTTTGTATGATATCCTTTGCTCACAACGTGGCAGCACAGGGTAAATACATCGCCATCGTCAGCACTACAGTGGAGACAAACAACCCAGAGAAAGAGATCAAGCCGGCCCTGGACCTCCTGGAGCCCATCGAGCAGAAGTTTGTCAGCATCAGTGACCAGTATGCACCCACTGACAGTGGCACTGACAGCCAGGTACAACCACCGGGATAATATGAAATATACAGGACCTCCCTGCAGTCGTTGCATGTATTAGCCCATGACTGAAAGCTGTCAGCAGGATTCAATATTTGATACCTGCGGCTTTAGGCTACATCCACACTTCTACGTTGAAGTTTTAAAACGCATCTCTTTTGCTCCACACACTAATCCGGAGTGTTTGATGCCTAAAACAGAGGCTCAAAGCAACATGGATAACAAATTACAAGTGTCACTGACCTTGTTGTCTTAGCTAGCAGCTGTTGTTCAGTTAAATTCTGTATTTTCACGCTTTATCTACAACCATCTTTGTTTTTCTTCATTGGTAGTATTTTGTGCAACTAATCAACTGCAGAGTAGACAATCTGCTTCCTGTTTACACTAGCAGGTGCCCAGTGTACGTGAATGGCCATGTGATATGCATTTTCAGGTCTGATAGTTTGGACGGAGACCGTTTTGATTTTAAAAAACTGTTTTAAAATGAAAATGTGTTTGTGTGGACGCAGCCAAATTTTTCAGATTATTTACTGATGGATGAATCGTTCATTTATAAATTCTTTTTACAATTTCTATTTTTAATGTGTATTGAAATATTAAATTATTATACTTTTCCTGTGACATCCCTGGTCCGCCATAAAGTACGGTGTCCCTTTTGAATGTAATGATTAGAATAATGTATAAGTAATTTCAGCTATTCCAGTAACGTAGCTTTTATTACTGAATGTGAAGTTCACACTGATCTGACTTTCAGATATTTGTCTGGCCAGGGACTAGTGCTAGTGCTGCACTACTTTCAGAGTTAAATGATAATAATAAGGGTTAATGATGATGATAATAATGATGATAATAATAATAATAATAATAATAATAATAATAATAATAATAGCATAAAAATGCCCCCCACAAACATAAATAATGTCAGTGACACAGGCCAGGTGAAACGAGATTTTGATCCAGAAATTCAATCTATAAACCTGTGGAAGTCTTCTTAAAAACAGGCTACAATGTAAAGTATAAATGGGCTGAAACATTACCAAAACTAACTAATTGTAATTAACTAATTGTGGGGTTTATTGAAGTAGCTATGCAGGATTGGGTATGTAAAAATAACATTAAATATGCCCCAAAATCCCAAACACTACATTGTAACATAAACCAGATTTTATGCAGATGTATATGTGTATGATCCCTACCCTGACAGTGGTGGAAATTATATTAAGATTTTCTACATTTATTGTTGTCATCATATTGCATAAAGGTGACTCGCTTTGTAACATTTAATGTAACGGATGAATTTCCGATTGTGTGAGAACATGCCATCTTTGCACCACTGTGCTGTTTTGCTGCCATCTTGTGTGTGCCGGTGTCAGCCGGCACAGGAAACGCTGTGTGTTCTGAGGATCTGAAACAAATCACCTTGAATAATTACCGTATGTAAACTTTTTGTATTTTATCTAGATTTTCATCTCCCGTACATACGATGCCACGACTCACTTTGAGACCACCTGTGACGACATCAAGGACATCTATCGGAGGATGACTGGCTCAGACTTTGACTTTGCCGAGATGGAGCGCAGGAAGCAGGACATCTTCGGCGACGCCGCAGAGTAGAGGCGTCCGCATCACTCCTGATCATCAAAGACAACGCTGCCGACAACTGAAATCTTACAAAAAATAGAAAACCTACACAAAAATGTACACACCAATGGGCCGGCCGATTATCCCAGTAAATGGTCTGCCCATTGAGGAAATTCATGATATATAGAGAGATATGATATAGTATTGTTGGATAGGGTTCAGGGAGGGAGCTATGCTTTTTCAAATCACATTCAGATGGATGGTTATGCCTAATACACAGTAATACCCTTCTTTCAACTGCGTCATCATGTCATGATGATGCATAGTCCAAAGATGCCAAATAAAATCATAATTCATAATCAGTAGTATCTGACAGAGAGAGTGTGTGGAGGGGAAACCAATTTTTCTGTCATTGTATAAAAGGTGTTTGGAAGAAATTTAATATCTGCATATAAGTTATTTTTCTCTGCAGGTGTTTTTCCATGTCAGGATGTGAGAGAAGTAGCTTGGTTTTGTGCGTCTGAATAAAATCATGAGCAGTTGAGTGCTCCTCACAGGGTGCAGCAGACAGCTGTGTGAGGTAGCGCCTCAGCTGCCATCTTGAATTGTCAGTTTGTGAATTAAAATGGTTTAGGGGTGTGTGCGCTTGATATTTTTGTGTGTCTTTACCCCCTTTATGTTGTCTAATCTCCAGCACAGCCAGACAGTAAACTGTAAACTTAACCACAAGGTAACTATAGTCCAGCATAAACTACCTGAACCTGTTTTCAACAGTCAGTTAATATAACGCATAAGTGGAGATGTATTAGTTCTTGTATTATGCAAAATGATGGAAAACTCAAGCATTGACAGCAGATTGATGGGAAGTGTGATTTGACTGTAATTGCTTAAGAAGGACCAAATGTGTACTGCAGCAGTATTGAATTGATGAGAGCCCTGTGATATCTTGTTTTCAACAACCGTTCAAAAAACATCTTGGGCTCAAATGATTTCTGTACTGCAAAGTAAAAAAACAACTTTGTCAAAAACAAAAACTGTGTTTGATTCATTCATTCTTTCTTACAACTCTGGAGTGATGAATGACTGATAAATAAACAACAGAAGTGAAAATACATGTATAGATTTCTACAAATGATATCCTTTAGGACAGTTGCAGACTATTTTAATATTACTAACACTTATTGTAAGTCCGGTGTTTTGAAATTATTTATAACAAAGATCTTTTAACTGAGTTACTGCAGCCTCCCAACAGAAGTTAAAGGTGCACCGATATGTCTGGTAGGTGTCAGTTACACCTTTTAATAGATGTTCCTAGGCACAAAGTAAGTGGCAGCATACATAAAAATAAGTTAAAACAGATTAAATATAGTAAAAGTTTGGTCAATACTATCAATGGAGTTCTGATATATTAGATATCTTCAGTGTGACTACGTGATATTCAGTTTTAATGTGTTGGGGGACTTCAGAAATACCACGACAATATTTCCAAGTAGCATCACAGGACACCTGACACCTTTGAAACTACGAGTCCCACAATCCTCTGCTGCCGTTCCACTGGACACTTGTAACATTATATCCTATGGTTATATCTAATGTTTATGGATTTAGTCCTGTGCCTCAGCCGGTGTCTCCCAACACTAACGTGTTATGAGCGGTAAAAACATGGAGGTGACAGCTGCACGCCGCTCGTTTCTTTGTGATATCGGTGAGCAATTATAACAGGTTTACACAGCAGCTAATGTTAGCTTCCTTATGAATGTTGAGACTGTCAGAATCTTGCTCGTACTGTCACTTTTTCTGCCGCACTGTTTTTAAAATTCAGACCACAATAATGTCAACCATGACCGTCACATACAGGCTAATACGTGAGTTATGTGAGGCTAAATGACATTTTAGCTAAATAGTTACTGGACTGCTAGCAGTTAGTGCTATACATTTTTATCGAGTAGTTTCAGTAGTTATGGCTAAGTAGCTTATTAAGATATTAAGCATATCAAGTATATTAAGCAGCAGGCTTCATAAAGATGTTAACTTTAATCACTTTATTTTTTATTTTACTGTAAATAAACAAAAACTCTAGGGGGTTTATATGTGTGAGTGTGTGTGTGTTTGTGTGTGTGTGTGTGTGTGTTTACACGTGTATATGTATGTACAGTCGGGTCCACTGTATAATAATAATAATAATAATGACAAACTTTATTTGTATTGCACCTTTCAGGCAAGAAATGGAGCACAAAGTACTTTAGGACAAAGACATTACATGCACCAAGTGCTTCACATGAAAAGACACAAAATGAAAGTAAAATCACGTTAAAAACATGAATGTCAAATGAGATAGAGGGAATAATAATAAACTAATAACAGAAAAAATTAATAATAAAAATAAATGAAAAATGTATAACACAGAATGCATAAAATCAGTAAGACCTTATACTTTTAACAGCATTTAAAAGAAGAATGTATATATGTATGCATTATTATAATTTTATGTTATATTCATATATATTATTTTTTACAACCAGAAAAAAAAAGTTAAGCTAAGACAAAATATTAAGTTCATAAGTTTATGTTGTTGGTTTTTAAATAGTAAGTAATATTTATAGTTTATTTATTGTAACATTAATAGTGTTTATATAGCGATAAACCTGTGCAATTGATCGATTGACAGAATAACTGAACAAAGCTTGTGTGGTATCATTACATGTGTAACTGTACTGATTCTGTGCTGCTGTGTGTGTTAGGTTTCTGGGCAGACCGGACGGCCCTGCACGAGGCAGCGTTCCACGGCAGGGTGCTGCAGGTGAAACAGCTGATAGAGAGGGGAGCCTCAGTCAACATGGTGACCGTGGACAACATCACTCCGCTCCACGAGTCCTGCATGCAGGCTCATCCAAAGTGTGCCCAGCTGCTGCTGGAGGCTGGAGCCCAGGTGAGATAAACATCTCACACAACACGAACCACCCCCAACCTATGGAGGACCAAACCTGACTCGTGCAGATATGAATAAATAAAATGCTTAAATAAACTGGGACACCTTATCACAAGCAGTGGTGATGCAATCTAATACAGAATAAATACTATCTTTGTGCGGTTTGTGAAGCAAACTACAGGCTCAAATGTTACAATGGATTTGATACTGAAGTTGATACTTTGCCAACTGCGACATGTGCTACTAAAATCTTAACAATCATCTAAAGATGTATAGAAAAAATAAAATGAGATTTTTCTGTGGTCTCTCCAGGTGGATGTTCGGACCATCCATGGCAGCACCCCTCTCTGTAACGCCTGTGGCTCTGGCAGCCTGGAGTGTGCCAAGCTGCTGCTGGAGTATGGAGCCAAAGTGAACCCGTCCCTCACAGCTCTCACTGCCTCGCCGCTCCATGAGGCCTGCATACGAGGTAACACTACAGCAGCAGTAAGAGAGAGTTCAACCAGTCATGTCATCCTTATTCACTGTGAATGAAACTGTACACCCCCTCTCAGGTAGTGTCGACGTTGTGAGGCTGATGATAGCCAGCGGTGCTAAGCTGGAGGCGTATGATGTCCACTTTGGACCTCCACTGCACATCACATGTGCTAAAGGACACGTGAACTGTGTGAAGGAGCTGCTGATTGCAGGTCAGTATTACCAACATTTACCCATTGTCCTGTAATCTGCCTCATTTAATTCTACTTTTATAATGATAATAATAACAATTTCCTACATTTCCCACAATGCTCACAACAACTTGCAGAGAAAAGGCCTCTAAATTAGGCCTGAAGGATATGTAAAACGTCATACTGTGATTATTTTGGCAGATGTTGTAAAATGAGTCACTAGTCATTTTTGTTTTTTAATTTTTCACTGAAAAAAATATAAAAATGATGATGATGTAGTTTTTGTTGTCTTGTACCAAACAAACATCTTCCTTTACATCTGGAGAATATGATTTGTGGGCCAGGGCGTCTCTGGAGTACCACAATGGTTCATTTACGGTTTGTTAACACATGACACATTTTACCTTTATCTAAAAAATTGCAGCTCTGGCAATTTGGATATTGCACTTGGGCATATTGCAATTTTGAAATATTTTGAGTAATTGTTCAGCCGCAGTCAGAATTTCTGTCTGTACAATGACATGACACAAGAACATACAAGTAGTTGAATATACACAAGTAATGAACTAAGGAGCTAAAACAAATGTGCATCGTGTTTCAGTGATATTAGAAGGCTTTTGTCTTTAGCAGACTAAAAGCCAACATTTCTAAACTATATAGTAAATGTTTCCATGGCACAGGCTGATTATCTTTGGTTGCAGTAGAACGGGATGATTTGATTTGTTGCTTCTTCCATTTTGTTCTTTTTGAATAACTGAATATAACATTTTTCCAGTTGAGTATTGATTTGTTGAATTACTCTGTTTCTTAAATCATATGATTTAGCTGTGTGGCTGCATTGCATTCTGGTCTATTCTTCTTTTATCCTGCATTTCTTACTGTATGATAGATGAACATCAGACTGACCTTTGCTCTTTGATCTAAGAGACTAACGGCAAAACTATGACAAAGTCCATGTTTGATAGCTGCATGCTAAAGAAAAACACATCACCAAGCAAACAACATGGGCCCAGGAATGGAGGCTTATTGTCAGCTGTAATAACACTGTATGAGGGTGGATTTTAGCAAATCATTCTGATAATTTCAGCTGTAATGATTCCATAAATGTAAAAAATAAGTTCCTCTTGACTTCCTGCAGGTGCCAAAGTGAATTCAGTGAAGTTCCATGAGACAGCTCTGCACCATGCAGCTCGAGCCCACATGGTGGACATGATTGAGCTGTTGGTGGAGTTCGGAGCCAACGTGTATGCTAGTGACAACCTGGGAAGAAAACCTGTGGACTACACAACACCTGCGTCTCCCTCTCACACCTGCCTGGAGTTTTATGAAAGTAAATTCCTCAACTGTTTCTGAATCACAACCAGAGAAAACAGAAAGCTGTTAGAAGTCATTTCTTAATTTGTGATTCTGTCGGTTTTGCTTTTGAATCTGAAAACCTCTTCTTCTCGTCAGGTAATCCTCTGAGCCTGCAGCAGCTCTGTAGAATCACTGTGAGGATGACGCTTGGCACCAGAGCCTCAGAGGTCATAGGTCAGCTGAACATATCCCCCCGCATCCACAGCTACCTCCAGCACTGTGACCGTCCCCCATCACTGCAGAGGGACACATGAACGGATATATGAGAGACTGCATCATGGACAACATATCTGCTTATAATTTAAAACATATTAGGTTATCCATCATAAATTGATTAATGTAAGTCATGTCCCATACACAGATGTAATATATGTACATATATTGAATTTTCATAAATGAAATATATATACATATAAAATAAAAACATATTTGTAATAATGACATATAAAACCTATTAGAAATTGTAACAGTTTCATATATTGACATATATGTATAGCCCATACGAATATGGTTCCGGGTTCGAGTCCCGGCTCGGACGCGGGATCTTTCTGTGTGGAGTTTGCATGTTCTCCCCGTGCCTGTGTGGGTTCTCTCCGGGTACTCCCGCTTCCTCCCACAGTCCAAAGACATGCAAATGGGGACTAGGCTGATTGGATACTCTAAATTGACCATAGGTGTGGCTGTGAGAGTGAATGGTTGTCTGTCTCTGTGTGTTTGCCCTGCGATGGACTGGTGACCTGTCCAGGGTGTACCTCGCCTCTCGCCCGAAAGGATGCTGGGATAGGCTCTAGCCCCCCCACAACCCTACTAGAGGATAAGCGCTAGGAAATGAATGAATACAAATATGTATGTTTATGCATATGCTTATATAGTACATTACATATATTTAAGTTACATATGTTACATAAATATATATCCATCCGAAAGCCTGTTGATATTATATATTATTTATTATTAGTATATTATTGGATAGAAATCTTAAATTTATGAGAAATGAATACAAAAACATGATAATCATATAGATTTTTTAAATGTATGTTGTTTTAATAGATGCAACATGTCATATATGGTAAAAATTCATCTAATCGATATTTTTAATGTATGTAAATATACAAATTTTACCATGGGTTTTTCATCTATGTTATGAACTTAAATCTTCATATATCCAGAGAATGTGTACATGAAATAATGATAATAATAATAATAATATATCCCCTTATAGTTAACATATATAGCAACTTCACTCTTGATAAAGGGACATATATGTCATATATTACATTTCTGTGTGGGGTGACGGGAATTACGTCGTCATTGCATCATTACGTCTTAAATTATGTCCATGTCGTTGTATTATGATATAATGTCGTGTATTATGTAACATTATTTATATTGAAGAATAAATACTGGTGTTAAAGAAAAATACAATTCCCAGCATGCATTTTGACTCCCGGGTATGCCACTCGTCTGCTGCTGCAGCCGCATGTAAACATTACCCGGATACTGCTGTTTACAAACATCTCGCGTGTCGCTGTTTGTGAGTTAGCATCGCTAATTCCGGGTGGATAAAGAGGAGGAGGATGGAGATTGAAAATACTCAGCCATATTTCTTTGGAGACATCGGTGAGTATGAAATAAAGACAACATGGCCGAGGAGGCTGCCGCTTTCACAGAATTTGACCTAGTTTGACAGCGGGTGAGCTAACGTGCTCTACCCGGCGTGTTGTGTTTACTGTAACGCGCTGTCAACACTGTACTGTGGATAATGTAATCTGCAATTAGCCTTAGCCTCACCTATGAATGTCGCACTGATTGTACTACATTAACAGCTTTTGTAGTAGATGCTAGAAGATAGTATTACGCATATGCGGTGCTTACAATATAGAGTATGAAGAGTAATCCTGTAACTTCAATATGTTTCTGTCATCTTAAAATATGAGTTGAATGCTAACTGTGTGGTAAATACAGGCTATTTTGCTAAAAGATTAAGACTCCTTTCTTTAATTTAAGGACAATTTCTGGAAGTGACAGTTTTAGGCGTTAATATATAGCATTGTCTGTGTTAAAGTTTATACTGTTTACACATTAATTAGCCACCGAGCAACACATAAGCTAATATACAGTGGATATAAAAAGTCTACACACCCCTGTTCAAATGCCAGGTTTTCGTGATGTAAAAAAATGACAGCAAGACAAATAATTTCACAACTTTTTCCACCTTTAATGTGACCTATAACCTGCACAATGCAATTGAAAAACAAACTGAAACCTTTAAAGGGGAAAAATATAAATTAAAAAACTTAAAAGAACGTGGTTGCATAAATATGCACACCCTTAAACTAATACTTTGTTGCAGCACCTTTGGCTTTTATTACAGCACTCAATCTTTTTGGGTAGGAGCCTATCAGTGTGGCACATCTTGATGTGGCAATATTTGCCCACTCTTCTTTGCAAAACCGCTCCAAATCTGACAGATTGCGAGGGCATCACCTGTGCACAGCCCTCTTCAGATCACCCCACAGATGTTCGATGGGATTCAGGTCTGGACTCTGACTGGGCCATTCCAAAGCCTCAATCTTATTCCGGTGAAGCCATTCTTTGGTTGATTTAGATGTGTGCTTTGGGTCATTGTCGTGCTGAAAGATGAAGTTCCTCTTCATCTTCAGCTTTCTAACAGAAGGCCGAAGGTTTTGTGCCAACACTGACTGGTATTTGGAACTGTTCATAATTCCCTCCACCCTGACTAAGGCCCCAGTTCCAGCTGAAGAAAAACAGCCCCAAAGCATGATGCTGCCACCACCATACTTCACTGTAGGTATGGTGTTCTTTTGGTGATGAGCAGTGTTGTTTTTGCGCCAAATATACCTTTTGGAATTACGTCCAAAAAGTTCAACCTTGGTTTCATCAGACCATAACACATTTTCCCACATGCGTTTGGGAGATTTCAGATGTCTTTTTGCAAAATTAAGCCGGGCTTTGATGTTTTTCTTTGTAAGATAAGGCTTCCGTCTTGCCACCCTACCCCATAGCCCAGACATATGAAGAAGACGGGAGATTGTTGTCACATGTACTACACAGCCAGTACTTGCCAGAAATTCCTGCAGCTCCTTCAGTGTTGCTGTTGGCCTCTTGGCAGCCTCCCTGACCAGTTTTCTTCTCGTCTTATCATCAATTTTGGAAGGATGTCCTGTTCTTTGTAATGTCACTGTTGTGCCATATTTTCTCCACTTGATGATGACGGTCTTCACTGTGTTCCATGGTATATTTAATTCCTTGGAAATTCTTTTGTAGCCTTCACCTGACTGATATCTTTGAATAATGAGATCCCTCTGATGCTTTGGAAGCTCTCTGCGGACCATGGCTTGTGCTGGAAGATGTGGCTACAAAAATGTCAGGAAAAGCCTACTAGAACAGCTGAACTTTATTTGGGGTTGATCAGAGGCACTTTATTTGGTGACAGGTGTGTGCTGACTCCAATTTAACATGAGTTTGAATGTAATTGGTTAAATCTGAATTTATTTTTTTACCTTACCCTTACCTTATATTTTTACTTTACCTCCCTGAAAGATTTCTGTTTGTTTTTCAGTTGTGTTGTACAGGTTATAAGTCACACTAAAGGTGGAAAATGTTGTGAAATTATTTATCTTGATGTAATTTTTTTTACATGACAAAGACCTGGCATTTGAACAGGGGTGTGTAGACTTTTTATATCCACTGTATGTACATATATTGAATTTTCATATATGGCCATACATGAAAAATATATATGTAAAAATTATATATAAAATCTAGAGATTGGAATAATTTTCATTTATATGTCTTGCCCATACAAGTTTGTCTGTTTATTTATGTATGCTTATATTGTAGACATATGTTACATAAATATATATCCATCCCAGAGCCTGTCAATATATGTCAATATTATAAACAGTGGGATCCAACAGTAAGAGACCATTTTCCCTGAATGTGAAGATAAATTAATCTATAATAATAATAATTAATAAGATAAACATATATAAGCATATATAAATATTATCTATACTCTATGTTTTTTTAATAAACTTGCATATATGAATTAAATATATATCACAATACATTATAAAATTCATCATATACATATTTTGTACATGTATGTATGTACATGTACAAATATTACTATGGGTATTTCATCTATGTTATAAACTCATATCTTCATAAACTGAGGATGTAGGCCTATATATGTGATAATATCCCTTTATAGGTTACACATATGGCAACATCACTCTTGATATAGGGACATACAGTACATGTCATATGTCATATTTCTGTCATGTTTCTCTCCATATATAGTTCAGACTGTTCAGTTACATTTTTTTTTCTTCAGACTCTGTGCTTCAATAAAATAACAGTCTGGATACTAAATGAAAAGTTTCAACTTTAATTTGAGTAGGTTTATGTCACTATTGAAAAAACTGTGTATCAGATATAACCCAGAGCCCTAATTGCAAGATGGTAATGACAATAGTGAAGACCTGGAAATAATCAGAAAGTTGAGGGTCAGATACATTTATTTAGGTTAATGTAATGTTTCTAGGTCAGCAATCAAATATAAGCTAATTTGAGGCATTGACCAACTTAACTCCTTTGTACAAAATCTCAGATTTCCCTCTCTTGTATCCGCTGAAGCTTGTGTTCAGCTGGATTTGATCCACTACAGAGGCTCATTCAAGTAACTCAACTTGCAGACAGTGTTGGCCTGTTATAAATAAGGCTGTGCCTCAGGTTTCCAGCAGATCAGTGTATGCAAGGAGATGAACAGGAGACTATATATGTTTTGAGGTTTCTGTGCAGTGTCTGACCCTGTTCTCCTGCAGGCTGCTGGTCAGAGAGAACAGAGGTGCACAAGGCGGCGTCCCTCGGCCAGGCCTCCCAGCTACAGCACCTCATTCGGAGCGGAGCTTCAGTCAATGTCGTGGCAGTGGACTCCATCACACCACTGCACGAGGCCTGCCTCCGCGGACAGGCCCAGTGTGTCCAGCTGCTGCTGGAAGCTGGGGCTCAGGTAAAGCATGGAAACTGACAGGTGGACAAAGGAAAGACACAGAGGGGAGTTTTCCAGAGTTATTAGACCAACTGAGTGAATGAGGAGAGGAAATATTATTTTGTGGGAAGAGGTTGCATATACATATACAGTATATATATATATGTCCCATGATGCATCTCAGGTGGATGCGAGGAACGTAGACGGCAGCACCCCGCTGTGTGATGCCTGCTCCGCTGGTAGTTTGGAGTGTGTGAAGCTCTTGCTGGAGCACGGCGCCAAGGCCAACCCCGCCCTCACCTCTCGCACTGCCTCCCCTCTCCATGAGGCCTGTATGGGTGGTGAGTGCCTCAGCGCACTTCACATGCCCTCTAGTGTCTGTGGAATCAAGTTTACCCGGTCTTTAATGGCTGATGTTGGTTTTTATGACACAACACTGTCGTTTGTGTTTCAGGTAACGCCGACTGTGTGAAGCTCATGATTACCATGGGCGCTTGTCTGGAGGCGTACGACCTTTACTACGGGACCCCGCTGCTCGTGGCTTGTGTTAACGGACACATAGACTGTGTCAAAGTGCTGCTCAATGCAGGTGAGTGGAAGCACAAACTGCATGACTTTAAGTTTGTCTCTTGCTTATATGTTAACTGCACTCAGATTTTTTTGAGGTCACATTTTAAATCCAGTCAGATGGAAGATGTATTTGGGGGTTTTGATTCCAATTCTTGTGTAAGTGGAGGACAGATTAGCTGGTCTGTAATAATACCTCCCTCAGCTGACACCAGGGTACCAGGCACCAGGTTAACATGTGGCCATACTGGGTACTTTGCATGTTTCAGTCTGTTTAGTACAAACTGTTTAAACTAGTGGTTCCCAAACAGTGAGCCGGGGGCCCACTGGTGGGCCACAAAGGTATTGCGAGTGGGCCAACAAATCATTCACAAAACAGTACAATTTTGTTGAAAAGATGTAATTATACAAATATATATATATATAAATAATGGACCACATCATACACTTGCATGCTATCTCAGTCTGATTGTGCACTAACAGATTACATCCATGGTAAAAACTGGATTATCAACATCTAAGATGGTTAGCAACAAGAAGAGTTAAAATGAAAGAGAGTCAAGAGACAGATGGTGAATCAAGTGACCAGTGACCCCACCGCCAAACAAGAAAGAAAAATTGAAATTCCTATATGTTTCCCCAGCTTTCAGTTCAGTCCTGAATGTTCGATCGTTTGTTCATTAAGATAAAACGAGCTCTGAGAATGATTTGGTCTCCATTTTGTTAAGGGGTCAGATGTGGGTGAGATTTTGAAGTGGGCTTTGATTTGTAAAAGGTTGGGAATCGCTGGTATAAACTGCCAAGTTTTATTACATTAATTTCCTACCTCACTAGCTTCATTGTTTGAGTGGTCTGTGAGAGTCAGGAAGTTGAATCCTGTATGAGTTAGGTACAGTTTTTTGTTTTGGGCAAAGCCATGTTATAATTGTGTCATAATGCAGTTGCAAACATGGACAACTTGGTAAACTCGTCATAGTCACAGTATTAATATAGAACCTAGACCTGCTTTGTAATCAACGAACACATGGACATCTACCTTTACACTATATGGGACCTTTAATGTCCTTTTCTGTTTAGGTGCTAAAGTGAACGCTACCAGGCTACATGAAACTCCGCTGCACCACGCGGCTAAGAACATGCGGCTGGAGATGATCGAGACGCTGGTGGAGTTCGGGGCCAACATCTACGCCAGAGATCACAACAACAAGAGACCTGTGGACTACACCACGCCGGGCTCTCCCTCTGCAGTCTGCCTACAGTTGTATGAGAGTAGGTTGTTCGCAAAAGTCACTGCGGCATGTAGAAATAATCATTTTGATCAGCCTGTTTGTGTAGCTGCCTTTAAACCAATACAACAGTGCAGTGTCAATGTAGCATCAGTAGATGGCAGGCAAGAATCATTTTTCACCTCCAGGAAGTCTCACATCAATGACACCTGTTGTTTACCATGATGCTCATATGTACAGTTGCTCATATAAAGGTTAGACACTGTAACTGATGCATATGAGAAGGTGATGATTAATACTAACAGAACTTTGTATAGAAAGTGAAGCAAAGGCTTTAAATACAATGAATAATAATGATAAGAATAATAATGATAAACTTTATTAGTACAGCACCTTTCATACAAGACATGCAGCACAATATGCTTTACAACAAAAACATTACATGCACCAAGACTGTAGAAACATGTTAAAAATCTTAATGTAAAATGAGATGGAATAATGTGATAACAACATAATACAAACAGTAAATGAATAAAAAAAGTTGAAATGGATCACATAGAATGACTTATAACAGCATTTCAAAGATGAGCTCCAGTGCACAATTGCAAATTTTCTGAGCTGGTTTGAAGTGAAAAGAGAAGTTTTAATCTTTCTTTCAAAAACACTCAGTGAGCTGCTTCTCCGATATCTACAGGTCGTATGTTCCACAGCTTTGATTGGATCCTGATTTTCTTACAGCTGTTAGCGGAACCTTCAGTAAAGCAGCAGTAGATGATCTCAGTGTTCTTGTTGGTCTATAGTTAACAAGGGAGTTAGCGAAGTAGCTTGGTCCTCGCCCATTAAGGCCTTTGTATACAAGGATTCTAAATGTAACAGGAAGTTAAACTGGACTGATGTGGTCTGTCCTCGTGGTTCTGGTTCACAGCCGAGCCGCAGGGTGTAGAATGAGCTGAAGTCTCTCAGTAAAAAAGTGCATCACGGTGATCGAGGCATGAATCAGTCCTTCAGCACCTTTTTGATTTATAAATGGCTGAAGTTTAACTGTGTTTCTAAGGTGGAAACATGATGTTTTTGTCACCTTGTTGATGTGGGACTGAAGCTCAGATCTGAATCTAAGATAACACCAGGACTTGTAACCTCACATTTAATCCAGGTTATTGAACAGGATTTCAGTTTTGTCCTCATTTAATTTTATTTATTTATTTAAGACAAGCAGACGAAGGTAGAAATACTTCCAAAAATCCCATATTTATTATTGAAAGAATTAATGATATACTTTTCCAAACACCATAGTTACATTTTCCACAGCAATGACACACATCATCCAGTTTTATCATTGTGAAACATTAAGCCACGTCATATTGAAATCAAACATCTAACCCTTGTTTTCTGTCCGCAGCCTCTCCCATGAGTCTGCAGCAGCTCAGCAGGTTGGCGGTGAGGAAGAAGCTAGGCACCAGAGCTCTGAAGGTCATAGGTCAACTGGACATACCCAAACTCATCATCAGCTACCTCTGCTATCAATGAGAGATCACCTGGGAGGAGGAGCTGCGTCGATGCTCATAGAGAGAGAGTGGAAACTCTCACCTCTCTCTGATTTAACAGTAGATGTAAAGGTTAGTGACGAGCACAGCGCTCTCACGTTTTCACGACTCTACTTTCATTTCAAGACTTGAAAGCAAAATGTAAATGTATTTAATGTGTTTACACGCACACTAACAAATTGATTTTATGTATGTTAAAGAATCGCTATCATGCAAACACTTAGATTTTCAATGACCTGAACAGGAACTCTTGTCAGTCTGTGGAATATACAGTATGACTGTAGAATATCACTTCAGCAATAGATAGATGAATAGATAGATAGATACTTTATTTATCCCCTAGGGGAAATTCATGATCAATGCGGTGGTTCCTACACTGGCTTATAGAGGCAGAGGCAACCTTTAGATTAAACGTCCCCTGTGACGTTTTCTTGTAAATAAACAAACAAGCTACTTCTACATTATTCACCTGAGCTCGAACAAAGCCACATTGCATGCTAACATCCATTTTCACTAGCTAGCAGTCTTCCTGTTCCCTGCTCTGCCTGCGACAGGTCAAAAACTGGGATGCAGGTAATAGCCATCAGAATCAATCTTTTTAAAAATCCCGCAGCTGATGACATGACAGCTCACAGTTTTCTGGGTATCGTAGTAATGCTGCCAGCGTTGTGTAGTTGAAGTAGAAATAGTAAAAAAAAATAAATAAATAAAACTTACGAAGCTCTCAACACAATCTGAGAAATTCAAGTATGAGCTGACCTGGAGAATTAAAGTTGGTATAAGCTAATCAGCTTTAAAAGTACGGGGGTGCCACAACAAAACAATTCATATGAACAGATTCTGCTTTAAAAAGTTTTTTGGAGCCGCTGCAGTGATGGGCTGAGCAGAACGATTTGGGGAATTGGGGAACAACCCTTGTGCCACGGCAGAAGACAATTATTGCAGCATGGGGACGCCCAAAGAAACCAGCATGTCAGAGTTTTCTTCTCCTTGCACAAATCACAGCAGGCGATTAATGACTTTAGACACATAATCTGACGCAGCGGCCATCTTGAGAGGCAGATAATGTAGGCTGCTGCAGACGTTAGCAGGAGTTTGTTCTTGGCTGTGATTGTGATTTTTTTTTTTTTGTTCACGCACAAAAATCAACTGAATGCAAAGTGGTTACAACTTGAACTTACATTCTCACTGTCTTATTATAAATAGCACAAATACACTGTTTGTTGTCTGCAGCCACACCGGACTGTAAAACAGTTCATGTTGATATTGGCACAGTCACTTGACAACAAATAAACAAACTGTTACCTAATCTGTTTTATTGATAGTTGGATATGGACACATGTAATCTTAACTATAAATTGCAGCTACACAAGTCTTAAATAGCATTTAATTAGGTTTGTCATTTATACAAACATGAACAGATTACATAATATAATTATTTAACTAGAGATGAAAGTGACTGAGCACAGGGAGAGGGAGAGGAGAAATGGCATTGTTTTTCGCAACAGAAAAGATGAAGATTAGACACCATTGTGATGTCATCATTTAAAAGGGGGAAGTCACAGGAAAATCCCCTGATGGAGTCCAGACCAATGACTGTATAAAAGATGGATGGCGTGTCTCCACTTCCTCCCATTGTGCAAAAATGAAACCACCACCACTACGAGTGCTGCCATCGAGTCTCTGCAGTAATGATAAGAGGGTGGAGCTGCATTATCAAAGCCCCACCCATACACCTGCTCCACCCAATTGCAAATCAATCACAGCTGTCTATCATGATGTTACATTCTGTTTTATTGTATCAAATAACTAATTAAAACGAAACGTAGGAGAAAACTGAACATTTGAACATACATCTGCTAACATGGAGGGGGCGGGGTTTATGGCCTATACTGCAGCCAGCCACCAGGGGACGATGGAGATGTTTTGGCTTCACTTTTAGGGAGCTGCCATGTTACCCATCTTTATGTACAGTCATTGGTCTAGACAGTGGTGGTGAGGGGTTGAAGAGCAGCTGAGGATGTCCATGGATGGGATGTGCAGCAGGACTTCTGCAGAGGTCAGAGGTCGGGCCCATGGACACTGGTTCTGATGAAAACTGGAGGTGAATGCGGAGGAGGAGGATCATCAGGCTTGCATTGAAATGAGAGGTGACAAATGTGATTGGTTGAAGTGAAAAACCAACCCTCAGTCAGCTGAGCTGGAAGTAGGTGGGGGGGGGGGTTCCTGGATTTTCTAGGAAAAAGCCAGCGTGCCTCTGAACTCGCAGGTGGACCGTAAATACAGAGACTAACTGTGCTCGCTGAGCATTCCCTGGATACCTGAAAGTAAAATGTCTTTAGGAATACCAAGCAGCTCTCGGGGTGAAGTTCTCCAGATGCTGTTTCGCTTCATCTCAGATTCCTGTTATTCAAACCCCCAAGCCTGGCGACTGCCTGTGTTTGATACAGACACTGAAGTATCCTGGCTGCCTATTTATAGCTTTGTGTCTGTTGCTGCATTAAATCTGCTCATAGATACAGAGAGCTTAGTCGGGTCTTGGTATTTGTAGAGGGAGGTGCAGGAAGTCGTTTGTGAATTCCACAAAGCGCTTTAGATTGATTTACTGGCTCTGTTCAAAGTCAGCGTGACCCCTTTCAGAAGCTTCATCTTTAATTTATCCATGGAGGTTGAATCAGGCCAAACACACACTTGAAGATAAGTTGAGGATACAGGGTTTGTCTGTGGGTAAATGCTCATGATCCCTGTCTCTGTTTCTCCTCAAACACATTTACAACAGTAAATCAAACTTTGTTGTTTTCTTAGTCTTTTTAGCCTTTTGATCTTAAACAATAATTCATGCTCCCTCTCTTACAGTGAACTGAAATTTCAGGACGCTCAGTCTGCTCTCGTGTTAAAGCTGCATTTGATGTGGAAACTAATATTGTCCCATCAGCCTCAATCACAAAGTGGGTTTTCTTCTGAGGAGCTAACTGAGAAGCTCCAGACTGACGCTGCACAAATAAAGTTTCACCCGCAGGAAATGAAAACTTCAATAATAATTCAAGGACAATAGCTGCGTTTTTGCTGAGACATCTCAAACCAAGGAAAACCACAGCATAGTGCTGTTTATTCAATTTTCATTATTTGAGTCTGACTATGAGATTGAATCGAAACATTAGGAAAGGTACACAGCATCTTCATTTAAATCAGTGTTTTTCAGATTTTTGTTTAAATAAAAATATGTTTTTTTCATCACTGATAGAGAACTACAAGACACAAACAAGAAAGTTGGAGTTGCTACGTGCTCATGTGTTTCCACAAATCGTTTTCTAAGTCGCGGCGTTTTTTTAAGATTATGTCATACTCAATAGGAAGCCGCTGACTCTGATGATTGGCTTTTGGCTGTGTTTTGATGTTGCAAGGGAATCAAAGTGTATTAAGTCTTGTTCCTGCACATCAGAGGAAATCTGCTACATAAAGACTACTGCAGGCTACTTCCTGCAGATCCATTGACCACTGCGAGTGGAAGAAAATCTTTAAGTGAGAAATCGGCAAATATGGAAGAAATCAATAGAGATACTTGGCAATGACATGACAGGAAATGAGGGGTTGAGAGCTCATGGTCAGAGTCTTAAACCTCAGGCCACGGGGGCACCACTGGAAACTGATTTTCATATTGCTCCAGCCAATCTTACAGTGCGTTTTCAACATGTTTGGTAGGAATATAAAGTGGGTGTCATGTGGTAAATGGGGTGAAACATGCAAAAACACTGATATAGTCCTTTTAAAAGCAGATTACAAACAGCAGAATAGAGGTGAACAAGCGCTATAAAAAGCCGAACTCTCTGCTGAACTCTGTCTTTTTCCTCTCTTTTCCCTTTCTTGATCTATAACATTAAACACAGTCCACGTGCCGTTTACTGACGTCAACCTTCAGGATTTTTAGGTGTCTAAGTTCACAATTTTCAAAACCTCTTGCCTCTGTGTGGAGCTGCCAGCGGGCAGTTACCTCGCACGGCTTTAAAGAGCAAGAGGCCGTCTGTCAGCTCTCCTAGACGTCTGCACCTCCGTGTTTATTGTTTAATGACAGATCTTTACAAAGCATTCAAAACTAATACTTCAAGCTTGTGGAGCTGCATCCAAATCTCTCAGTTCACTCCTCTGATTTGGCGCTCTCCCTAAACGTGCCCGAGCTGCACGATGCTGGCCTGAATATGAAGCTTGTGGGCCAAATTGTGGGAGTTCATTTAATCAGAATATAAATTCTAAATTCTAATAAAATAATCTTCCATCCTTAGAAGGTTTTTGGACTAGTTTCCTTTCTTAAAAAAAAAGGCATTATAGTCTTAGCCTGTAAATAATCCCGAAGCACAGATCTCTCCTTCTTCATATGGAGCATTCCTTTTTAGAGCATTATAAAATATTTGACCCCAATACAGATGGAGCTTGTACTCAGGGCTTAAAATAACTACTACAAAACACTTGTAGTCTACAGAAGGGACTGGAAAGAGCAGAGAGGAGGGCAGGTATGCAGCGTATGTCCAGTTATCTAAGATGAAAAACAAAAACTCCAAAATAGGAATGTTGGACTTCAGGTTGAGCAACAGAGCGGTTGGCTTGTTGGGAAACTTTCCTCCCGGTTCGTCATATTAAACGGTGCCGGCTCAGTTTAAGTATTCTTATTAAAGTGAATGAAGGTCAGGTTTAATCTGCTCTGATGTTCAGGACACACTGATTTATCTGTTTAAGGTGCTACAAAAAGCTGTCGAATCATCCCACAAAATGTGTCATAAATATTTGTCTTATTGAACTGTACAGAAATGTTGATTTATTGAATAAATTGTTCCATTGACGTGTTTGTTGTTCTCGTGTTTTTGCATCAACCTGAATTTCATTCCAAGGACATTTACACATTTTTTTTTACATTCTAGCACCTGAACTGTGTTTCCTGTCTGCTAAACACAAACCAAGAGCAGTTCATATTAGATACTTGATGCTGACAACACAGCTCTTCCCTGTAGCTAACTGGTTAGCATTGTGCTACATGCAAGAACAGCTTTTGTTGAAGCAACATTTCCTTGAGCCTCAACTCTTGATCTTATGTCAGGTTCTTTGTTTCAGATTCATGTTGCTCTTTGAGTCGACTTGGTGAATGTGTTAGGAAATGTTTGCACAGTTTAACTATTTAGCTGCTAAATGCTCCACTATGTTCATCAGCTAATTGCTAACTTTGTCTGACTAATGTTTCTGGATGTTAGAGCGGTTCCGCTGTAAACACAGTAAACAGCAGCCTGCTGCGTCTAATGAGAGCAGTGAGACCGTGAGTTGCCATCAAACCAAAACAACGAGCTAAAAGATGCTAAAATGCTCTGCAGAGCTCAGGGGAACTACAGT